AATAAACATTATATAAAAGATATACTGGAAAACAGAAGATGAAAAATACTTCACTACTCATTCTATGAGACTAGTAATGCCCTGACCCCTCATGAACAATAAAATGGTAGAACAATATTTTTCATAACAATATAAAAAAATTAACAAATTATTAATATATTGATTCCCGCAATGCATAAAAAGGATAATGCAGTCATGCATTGCCCAACCACAGGGTATATTCTAATAAATACGTCCCCAGTCAATTTTGTAGCTCTGTTTACATCACAGAGTGTACTTACACAAACCAATATGATATAGCCTATTACACACCTAAGCTATAAGTGTGGCCTATTTCTCCTAGGCTGAAAACTTGTGCAGGATGTTATTATGCTGAATATTGGAAGCAATTGCAACATATTAGTAAATATCTGTGTATCTAAACATATCCAAACACAGAAAAGGTACCATAAAAAATATGGTATAAAAGATTTGTTTTAAAAATACTATGCATGTATAGGACACTAACTGAATGGAGCTTGCAGGACTAGAACTGCTTCCGAGTGATTCAATGAGTACACTGTGAGTGAATGTGAAGGCCTAGGCCATCAGGCTATAGTACTCTAGACTTTATAAACACTGTATACTTCGGCTACACTAAACATTTTCTTTCTTCAATAATAAATTCACCTTTGCTTTTTTACTTCACATACTTAATTTTTTTAAACTTTTGACTTTTTAAATAACAGCTTAAAGTATAAACAGATTGTATAACAAAATATTTTCTTTGTTGCTTATTTTACAAGGATATATTTTTTTCTGGTTTCAAATTTTTATCACTAATTTTCTAAATGAAGATACAAACACCAGGTTAGCCTAGGCTGACTCAGGGTCAGGATCATCAATATCAATGTCTTTCATATCCATATCTCATCTCACTACAAGGTCTTCAGGGGCAACAACAGGCATGGATCTGTCATCTCCTAGGATAACAATGCTTTCTTCTGGAATTTTGCCTAAAGACACTGCCTAAGGCTGTTTTACAATTTTTTTTTAACTTTTCTCTTTTATAGGTAGAATGAGTACACAGTAAAATAATGATTAAAAGTATACTATAGTAAATATATAAACCAGTAATATATTTATCAAGGATTTATGTAGTATACATAGTTACATGTGTATGCTTTTATATGCAGATTTACACCAGCATAATCACCAACTCATGAGTAATATATTGAACTCTGATTTTATCATGGCTACGATATCAATAGACCGTATGACATTTTCAGCTCCATTATAATCTTATGTAACCACTATCATCTATGAGGTGTGTCATTGATAGAGGTCATTATGAAGGGCATGCCTGTATATCACAATGAAGTGTGTTTTAAAGGGAAATGCAAAGTAGTTTTAACATTTGAAAATAGAACAGATTTACCCAAATAGTGAGCTAACGATAAAAATCCATAGGGTATTCTCAATATAGAAGTAGCATTTGTACAAAAATGAAGGGAGGAACATTTAGAGTCACTGCTTTTACCCCAATTTTGATTTACATGTCACTGAGCGTCTTTGATTCTCTTTGTGAACATGTTTTATAATTCCCCTATAATGGTCTGTAGTTATTTTCTTTACTGATGTTATTAACTAAATTCCATTTCCTCAACCCTCAAATTCATATGTTGATGTCCTAACCCCCAGAATGACTGTATTTGAAAATAAGGCCTCCATGGAGGACATTAGGTGAAATCAGGGCATAAGAGTGAGGTCTTAATCCCATAAAACTAGTGGTTTTTGTTTGTTTAATTTAAGTTTTAGCAACTATTGAGGGTTCAATCATCACCATAAGAGATGTCTCATACACATTTAGAGCTAATCTCTATTCGCATATCCAGCCTCAGGCAACCCTTTATCTACTTTCTGTTTCTATAAATTATATGCATGTACTAAACCTGCATATGTACCCACTGAATCTAAGATAAAAGTTGAAATTATTAAAAACAAATAAACAAACAAAGGATTGGTGTTTCTGAAAGAAGAGGAAGATGCACCAGAACTCCATCTCTCTCGATGAGTTTGTACACACGGGAAAGGTACCCTGATGTTAAACATCTAGCCTCCAGAACTATGGGAAAGAAAATTCCTATTCTGTGAACTACACATTGGGTGGTATTTTGTTTTGGGAGTCCAAGCTGACTAGTACAACTGACTTCACTCATCCAGCTTGGAAATATTATCTCTATGAAACAGTCTGGACATTTCTCTCAGGGCTGCTACCCTACACTTCCTGATGCTTGCAGTAATTAAACATAACATGTCTACATGTACAGATAAAAGGTCAGAATTTCCCTCTAATAAAAATTTTATCTTTGTTAATGTTACAACCACACACTTTCATCCTCCCAGGAAATATTTTATGTCTAGAGAACACTTATTTAGGTTTTAAATAAATCATTATTTCATCCTATTTAAGGGATGAAACCTGATACCACATGAAGATATGGAGACGAAAAATATAGATTTAAATTACTCATTATATTATCCTCTTAATTTGATTTATTCTAGTCTGTATAGTAATATTTCCAATTAAATATAACAATTTTGAAGAAATAAAACACTTTAATAAAAAAATCTCAGCAGAAAGTAAGTGTCTCTCAAAAACTAAGCCAGCTAACACTTTCCACCTGCTGGAGAATCTTGGTATTCTGGTGAGAAGTAATTGATAAGTTGTTATTTGGAAGGGCTGTGGTCTAGACAACGAAATAAGACCAAACCAAAAGCATCCAGTCTCACAGTTACTATTCTGACTTGATGGTTAAGTGTTCTAATATTATCCTAAAGATGGGGCAAATGAGGAATCTGAATAACTTAACATCAACATACAGAGGTGGGGAAACTGAAATTACTATCAAAATTGGAATCTCTGAGATCAAGTTAACTCAGAAGTAAAGGAGTTTTTCTTCTTAAAACTGTAGACATATTTTTCAAGGGCATATGTTCAAACACTGTAAAACCAAGCACTCATTTTCCATGTATTTCTCTCTGAAATGACGAAGTGCACATAAATATGAATTCACAGGATAAAGATGCATGCTCCTTTCACATTCTTGAATGCAGGAAGTCTTCTAGCCCCTTTACACAGAACAGTTTACATCTTATAGCACTCCTAAAAAAATGACTGAAAATTATTTCAAAACAAGATTACTCAGCTATACTTTCCTACTAGCTACTATTCCCACTATTGGTTTGTGGAATCGCCAATTACATTACTTAAGATTGGCATAGCTACAAGTTTAGGATGTTTTTCTCACTACATATCAAAGTGGAACACAAGTATCTCAAGGAAATTTTTGTTGTTCAATTTCCTACTCATACTATTTTCCTGCTGTATTTTCTTTATCTGTTAAACAAATGTTGTTCAAATAAAAAAGAATCTCTTTGGAAATACAAAACCATAGGAAAAAAGATTGTCAAACAATATTGTTCATTGGAATGAATGATTCAATAGCTTAAAAATGTGACTATCTGTGATACACTTAGGTCTGATAGACTTTTACGGATCCACACTAGTAAACCAGCAGTCTCTGAGTTTGATGATGATTATCTGGAGTGAATATGTTAATATTCAGGGTATAATCCTACTACAAAATACCAGCCATTCGTCATAAGTAACTGTCTGAACAGAACATCTAAATACATAATATTTGAAGAAATATCTCATTTAGCACTACATCCTATATTTAAAGGATAAGTAGTGTAAGCAGTAGAAACAAAGGATTGAAAGTTGAAGATAATGTCAGTAAATGCTCCAGCAAAAAATAAAGCTTAGTTTTGGATTTAAATTATTGTTCTTCAAAGAACTTTTTAAAAAATAACCTAATCCGGGCCGGGCCCAGTGGCTCACGCTTGTAATCCCAGCACTTTGGGAGGCCGAGGCAGGTGGATCACGAGGTCAAGAGATTGAGACCACCCTGGTCAACATGGTGAAACCCCGTCTCTACTAAAAATACAAAAAATTAGCTGGGCACGGTGGCGCATGCCTGTAATCCTGGTTACTCAGGAGGCTGAGGCAGGAGAATTGCCTGAACCCAGGAGGCGGAGGTTGCGGTGAGCCGAGATCGCGCCACTGCACTCCAACCTGGGTAAGGAGAGAAACTCCGTCTCAAAATAAATAAATAAATAACCTAATCCTTAGTAAGGACACTTTTGCACATTTGATGTATATTTTGCTAATCTTTTAAAATTATTTTTCACTATATGGTTTACGAAGTGATTCTATAAACACTTGTACCTAATGCTTTTGCAGTAACCTGTATTACTAATGCATATTTACAAGATGGTCCAGTTTTAAAGTTTATTGTCTACAATTTAGCAGTTTAGAGACACACCTAAAAGAATGGAATATTTTAAAAATATTCCTGATATTAATGATAATCAAAGAATATTTTAAATTTCTAAAATAAACTATCAAATTATAGATTTAGAATACATAATTTACTTATTTGATGAGGTAATTTTAAAAAGTTCCATGAATTTAATATGTAATTCAATTAAAACACTATAAAATCAGCTTTTGTATAATACAATATTTTGTGCATAGTGGAATAATTTGTGTATAATACAGATATTGACTCAATTATATTCTAATAAAATATGATACTGTATACACATGAAAGTGGTATCAATAACACTAGAATATCTGTTTCAAGATACACTGTACTGATAATAAAATGTCTGAATATGTCACAGTTGCCCTGACCCCATTTTTCCAAAAGCTTGCTTTTATAGACAGAATAAGTATAATGGGTACAGCCTTTGACTCAGAATATTAGAGCCTGATCACACTGTTGATTTCTTTAGTGTTTTAATCCAACAACCTTAACCCCAAAAATAGCACCAGAATTTTTTTCATGAAACTATAATGCAATGGTTGGCTTTTTACCAAAATGACTAAGATCCCAATGCTGTTCCATGAGCCTGATAATAGACACAAGCCAGAGGGAGGTGGGTGCATAACCTACCTGAACCAGGAGATGGTGGGTTCCGGAGAGCCTGAGGCCCTGCATGAAAACACCATCTCTTCTCCTCTCTCAGCTGTGGCATTAAAAGATTTCTGAGGCATTGAGATTGCTGGCGGCACTGAAGGAGAGATGAATATAGAATAAATAGGGAGGAAAACATTTTCACTAACATGATTTAGAGAATTTTCACCATTTAAAATACTAAGCTTTCTAACGTTATCCTTCACATCTCCATTTATATTAATGGAACTTATTTGGTTTCATAGTAAAATGACGTTATCACTGATGTGCTTTCTAATGTGCCACAATCAGATAATTTGATGATGTGCCAAATATCAATTCATTGTTAAACTATTTCACTATTAAATATATACAACAAAATAAACACTTTAGCAAACATATATATTTCTAGGAATTATGTCTCAGAAAAAGACACCACCACTACACTTACATCAATATGGATATCTACTTTGAGCATAAGTGGATTTCCTGTTTGGATTCTCATTGGTCTGTGTAATGCCATAAGCAATCAATCACTGCTTCAAAACAGGGCTTTCAAATTCGGTGTTAAACCATAATGTTCTTTCTGATTAACTACACTTAATTTCTTCAAGCAACTATAGAATGTGTTATGAAGCAAAACTGCATAAGGCATACAGAGTATGGAAATAGATTTTCATGAACTGTTCAATTTTAAAATTAAGCATCTCCAATCTCTAACTAATTACATTGGAAAAACTGTATATACTGCACATTTGGAACATGTTGAAACTGTTACTGAAATGCACTGTTTGCAATACACAAATCACTAGCATCCACAATAAAAACTAAATTTAAAAGCAGAGCATACATTCTGACTCACTGCACACTTTCATAATTTTAAGCTGAATATCATAGAGTAACATTCCTAAAATCAAGTATATTAACAATTTTTACATAAAACAATATGAAACAGGCATTTAAAAGTGTGATTATACTCAAACATCTCTACAACAGCATTCAGGTCAGCATCGATGCCACATTGCTTCCATTGATAGTAAGAAAAAGAACTGGTATGTAACTTAGTAATTAAACACAATAAATCAAATTTCTGCCTTTATGGATTTAGATACAAGAAACATAATCTGACATGTTGTCTCTAAAGTAACATAATAATTACTAGTATTACAAAGTATAGACCTTTTTCAGATATTAACTCTGAATTTTAAGTACATTGTCATTTGATTATCTGTACCGTTTTTCTTCCCTTGTAATTACGGATAATAGCATTTTAAACAAAATGCATGCTTTGCCTAATATTATTTATAAATTTAGTTGCAAGAGCAGCGTTACTGTTTTTATTACAGTAAAGGTTTTTTAACCCATTATAGAATTATAATGAAATGAGTTCTTTAATGGATTTGTATTCCATAGGTATTGAGTAGTCAACACTTACAGGAAAGTTTCTATATTTATATATTATTTATCTGGAAAAAACATGGGGATGTATAGGGAAGTAGTTTTTTTTTTTTTTTTTTTTTTTGAGACGGAGTTTTGCTCTTGTTAGCCAGGCTGGAATGCGATGGCGCGATCTCGGCTCACTGCAACCTCCGCCTCCTGGGTTCAGGCAATTCTCGTGCCTCAGCCTCCCGAGTAGCTGGGATTACAGGCACACGCCACCGTGCCCAGCTAATTTTTTAAAATATTTTTAGTAGAGATGGGGTTTCACTATGTTGACCAGGATGGTCTCAATCTCTTGACCTCGTGATCCACCTGCCTCGGCCTCCCAAAGTGCTGGGATTACAGGCTTGAGCCACCGCGCCCGGCCTGTATAGGGAAGTAGTTCTATTAACTCCCACTAACATGGACGTAGTCGTTCACCTTCAAGTTATAATTCTCCTGACCGGCTGCTTAGGCAACAAAATCATCACTAATTTGATAGAATGGTTTACCTTTTATTAATAAAGGCATTCAGCAATTTCATATGTTTTCTGAGACTTCAAAGTCTTTCCTCAACCCCCAAATATTTCTCAGAATTTAAAGATGATACTAACCATGAAATGCTTATTCATGTCACAGCTCGTGTGGTTCAGGTTAACCAGCACCCATTAATTCCTTCAAGTTTATTTGAGCTAAGGAAAACTAACACCACTCAATCACAGTCAGGAAGTACATTCATTTGTAAATCAATTCCAATTCTGTTTTAAATATAAAGCAATGAATAAATGCACACATAGATTTTTCATCTAGCAGAGCACTGTTAATCTTAAGACTCACAACCCTCTATTTTTCTTTCCTTGTTTTTACTTTTATTTTTTATTTTTTTTTGATCCAGGGGGCACATGGGCAGGTTTGTTAACTGGGTATATTGCATGATTCTCAGGTTTGAGGTAAAGGTGGTCCAGTCTTCCAGGTGCTTAGCATGGTAACCAATATGTAGATTTTCCGACCATCCCACCTCCCACTTACCCCTTTCTAGGAGTCCTCAGTGTCTATTGCTCCCATATTTATGTCCATGGGTATTCAATGTTTACCTGAATGTAAGAATATGCAGTATTTGGTTTTCTGTTTTTGCATTAATTTGCTTAGGATTAACACCTACAGCTGCATCCATGTTGCAGCAGAGGACATGATTTCATCATTTTTCATTGCTGTGTAGTATTCCATGGTGTATATGTACTGTATTTTATTGATCCACTCCACCATTCATGGGTGCCTAGGTTGACTCCACATCCTTGATGTTGTGAATAGTACTGCAATAGGCATACAAGTGCAAATGTCTGGTACAATTTATTTACCTTTTGGCATATACCCAGTAATGGGATTGCTGGGGTCAAATGCCAGTTCTGCTTAAGTTCTTTGTGAAATCTCAAAATTACTTTCCACAATGGCTGAACAAATTTACATTGCCACCAACAGTGTATAAGCATTCTCTTTCTCTGAAGTCTTGACAGCATATTATTTTTTGACTTTTTAAATAATAATCATTCTGACTGCTGTGAGATGGTATCTCGTGGTTTTAATTTACATTTGTTCTCAGAATGAAAGCTGCACCACTAAATCCATTTGAACTTTGATAAAGTTAACAAAAATATTGACTCCTTATTCAGTAGGTGGTGCTAGGACAGCTGGTGAGCCATATGCAAAAGAAGTAAACTGGACCACTACCTTTCGCCATATAAAAAACAAATTAACTCAAGATGGATTAAAGGGTTGAATGTAGGGCCTTAAACTATAAAAATTATGTAGGATAGCTGGGCACGGTGGCGCGTGCCTGTAATCCCAGCTACTCAGGAGGCTGAGGCAGGAGAATTGCCTGAACCCAGGGGGCAGAGGTTCCGGTGAGCTGAGATCACGCCATTGCACTTCAGCCTGGGTAACAAGAGCGAAACTCCGTCACAAAAAAAAAAAAAATAAAGAAAGAAAAATTATGTAGGAAAACTTAGGCCATACCCTTCCCTATATTGGCTTTGGCAGAGAATTTATGGCTAAGTCCCCAAAAGCAATTGCAACAAATACAAAAATTGACAAGTGGGACCTAATTAAATGAAACAGCTTCTGCACAGTAAAACAAATTATCAACAGAAAGACAGACAGCCTAAAGAAAGAAAGAAAATGATTGCAATCTATGCCTCTGATAAAGGTCAAATATCCAGAAACAATAAGGAACGTAAACAAGTCAACAAGAAAAAATGAGCCAACAAATCACTCAATTAAAATGGAAAAACGACATGAACAGACATTTCTCAAAAAAGACATACAGGCTATCAACAAACATATGAAAATATGTTCAATGTCACTAATCATCAGAAAAATGATTTTACTTTAAGGGCTGTGTGTCCATTAGAAAGTCACAGAAGTGATCTTGTTTCCTGGCCAAGAGATAGAGCAGATTAACACCAAAGTATTTGATATTTCTAACATTCTCTATTTACATTCTCAGTCTATATGAAAACCAAATGAGTTTATTTATTTGGGTCTAACCATAGTTCCATTAACACACTTCCTTCAATTGCGCTTTATCATATGAAGAGAGAAAAGTGAAAAACCTGGAAAACCACATTTGCAAAGCTGATTTGTATTACTCATGGATGATAAGAAATTACATGTTCGCAGTTAATATTAAGAACCTTCCTTTGTGGGCTAAACAGAGCCAAATACTTTTGAAGAGCTTCCCAGGGACTAGCATATAATTTATCTGAATGAGATGGAGAGAAGAATGAAGTGGTGGTTCTGTGTTTTGAGTTCACCTGTGGGCAGTGGGCAGTGTCTTGGTGGAAGGGAATGGATATTTTTTGCCTCCCTGGAAAGTACCCACTAGTAAAAGTTTCCTTCTCTCTTTACTTTCAGTCCCTTTGTATATTTGCAGGTGCCAAAGTCATATCCAGTTTTCCCTTTCCTGCTACATGCTAACTGGTTAATTATACTGCAGAAACCTTTTCACCAGTCTGTACTTCCATATAAATTGCACTGATTTTGTCTGAATGCCCTGGGAGAAGTTGAAAATGATTGAAAGTGACTTCTGTATTTCAGCCCATGACTCAAGGCAGAATGGCCACCCCTGCCAAGGTTTGCTTCTCTTCCAACAATGCCTCACCCTCCCTCTAGGATTAAAGTGCTTCTGCCCTTCCACGAACTCCTCCTCCATTTCCTTTTTGGGATTCGTACCATCCTTCTATTCTCTGGTCTTCTATTTTTGGTGTTGTTTAAGTGAAGGAAGAGATGTTCCCTCTAATTTCTCTCTAGCCTATTATAACCTGCTATCTTGGGGCAACTTTTGATGTATGACATGTCACCCTTCCCAACTGGTCTCCTGCAACATGCTGTCTTCAAGTGGAGCCCTCACTGCAATCCCTGACTCTGGTCATTTGTGCCTTCCTCTTGTCATCTCTGTACACTACTTATATTCACTGTGGGTTGGGGGAGCTAATTTTAAGCATGTTCAGTGGCAGCTCCCCTCCAGTTTCAGTGCCACTGTTAAAATTTATCCAAAAGCAACTTCACTGGGGGTTTTCTTAAGGGGTAAAGGCCTTTTACAGAAGCTAAACCTTTCCCCACGTCGTAGAATGTGCTCTTCTATATCTACTGATCAATAAAGCATGTTCTCTGCTCAAAAAAAAAAAAAAAGAACCTTCCTTT